GGGAAACAGGGAATTTGGGAATGAATAGGGGAGTTAGGAGAGGCTGGCAGAGACAGGGAGTTTGGGAATGAAGGGGGGAGATGAGAGCCTGGGAAACAGGGAATTTGGGAATTAGGAGAGGCTGGGAGATAGGGAATGTGGGAATTAGGAGAGGCTGGAAGAGACAGGGAATGAAGGGGAGAGGGGAGAGCCTGGGATACAGGGAATTTGGGAATGAAGGGAGGAGAGCCTGGGGGAAACAGGGAATCCAGAGGGGTTGGGAATGGAGCCTGTGGGAATACACAGAGATGGGAGGGGGGGGAGGGGGGGGCCGGGGGGGATACTCAGGGATTGGGAATGGGATCCTGTGGGAACAGAGAGGGGTTGGGAATGAATGGGGGGGATCCTGTGGGAACAGAGAGGATTTGGGAATGGAGTGGTGGAGGGCTCAGGGGAGCAGGATCCTGCTGGGAGAGCAGGGCCTGGAATTCCCCCATCCCCGGCGGATCCGGAGCCTCCCGAACCTCTTCCCTGCCCCTTCCCAGAGCTCCCTTTTCCCTGGGATTGCCCCTTTTCCCTGGGATTGCCCCTTTTCCCACCTTGCTGCATGATCTCCACGATCTGCACCACCCTGTCCATGTGTTTCCTGGCTGCAATCAGCCCCTGCAGCATCAGCATCTTGTAGTAGTTGAACATGTCCCCGTCCAGGCCCCCCATGACCTGTCGGGGAGAGGGAAAAAAAAAACCGGGAATGGGGGTGGGAATTCCCTCCCCAAATCCCCCGGGGCTGTGTCTGTGCCCCCACTCACGTCCACGAACTCCGAGGTGAGTTTGAAGGCCGAGGTCTCGAAGCCCAGGTTCCGGGGGGAGCTGGAGAGGATGAAGCCGAAGTCGATGTGGATGATGTGGCCCTCGGCGTCCAGCAGGATGTTCCCGTTGTGCCTGGGCAGAATTCCCGGGAAACCTCGTTATTCCCGGGAAACTCTGTTATTCCTGGGAAACCTCGTTATTCCCGTGAAACCTCATTATTCCTGTTAAACCTCATTATTCCCATTAAGCCTCATTATTCCTGTTAAAACTCGTAATTCCCATTAAACATCATTATTCCCATTAAACCTCATTATTCCCATTAAACCTCATTATTCCCAGGAAACCTCGTTATTCCCATTAAACCTCCTAATTCCCGTTAAACCTCGTCATTCCCATGAAACCTCATTATTCCCATGAAACCTTGTTATTCCCATTAAACCTTGTCATTCCCAGGAAACCTCGTTATTCCCACTAAACATCATTATTCCCATTAAACCTCGTTATTCCCGTGAAACCTCCTTATTCCCATTAAACCACGTTATTCCCATTTAAACCTCGGTATTCCCGCTCCCGGATTTTCCGGGGGTCACAGGATTGGGAAAACCCCCCCCTGGAGCAATTGGGGTCTCACAGGGTTGGTTGAGGGCAGAATGGAATTAATTAATTATTATTAATAATTATCAATTATATTAATATGTCAATTATGTGTAATTATTAATTATATTTATTAATTTATATAATAAATGTAAAATAGAATTATATAAAATTTATATAATATAATATAGTATAATACAGTATATAAATATATTTATATATAATATATAGGTTATATAAATAATATATAATATAATAATTAATTTATAATATAATTTACTGTATTATATAATAAAATAATTATATTATAATAAATCTATTTTTATATAATTATATATAAATATATTAATAAATAAATATTTACATATTTTATATATTTATATATTATAAATATAATTAATAAAGACTATAAATATGATTAATATATGTTAATATATATTTACATATTAATTATATAAAATTACATTAATAGATTTATTTATATAACAATATATTAATTTATTTATATAATAAATTATATATTTATAATTTATACTTTACATTTAGAATATAATTTAAAATATAATTTACCTTTATAATTTCTAATAAATTAAATAATTATAAATAAATAATAATTAATAACTTTTAATTTACTTATATAATTAATTATATATTTATAGTTTACATTTATAACATAATTTAAAAATAGAATTTATCTTTATAATTCCTAATGGATTAAATAACTGTAAATAAATAATAATTATTAATTATTATTAAGTGAGATGCTTTTGTGGGATCTTTTCCTTTGGGTTCCCCAAAACCACCATTAAAGGAAATTTCTGGGGGGGAAAACATGGGA